TGGCCAGGTCAGATGGTGGGCTCCATAGGCTCACCCATGTCTGCGGACCCAGCCCCAGCTTCAGCTACTTCCTCTTCTGAATCAGACTGTTCCTCCGGCTCCGGCTGCGGCCCTTGTGTGGCCATGGTTCCTCCTTTTCCTCTCGTTCTCCCCGGCATGTTTGGGGAAAACGGAGAGAATCAAGTAAAAAAAAAATCTCTTCTGCAACTCCTACTGCCGATCCCACCACTGCCACCATATGTGAAGGACCAGGGTACGCAACAATCAGGAATGCAGGTTGAGGTGCAATTTACCCAATATATGTACAATCTTAAGATGGGTAATAAAATCTATTTGGTTTAAACAAAAAAGGTGTAGATATAAACAGACACAATCTAGCATTTAATGCATAAACAAAACGTCACAAAAATGGGTGACATCCTGTGTGCTCTTCTGCCCAAGAGTAACTCACATACCCCCCCTCATCTCCACACTGCAGGAATTTATAGCCCTACTGGCCAGTCCATTGTTGCGTGCAGGGGGAAGAGGCTCTAAAAAGGGGTAGCTTAAATGGAGTGGCCTCTTTAAATACCCCTAAGGGTTTGAGAGGAATGGCGTAGTCCAATTAACTGACACATCTATAAAGGCAGGTGTTTTCCATCAGCTCAGCCTTTTGCCAGGAGCAAGGTGAGCTGTAAGACACTTTAAGATGTGTGTTCGTTTGTGAGGCTTGTAGCCCTCTCAGGGCTTCTTAATATTTAATATACTATGAATGTTTTATATCCATGGAACGGGAAGAAACTCAGCGAACTGATCTTTTTTTTGTTTTTTGCAAAATAAACCACAAAGCTAACGCTGAGTCTCTGAATTAGCCACGAGCGAAAACATCTTAAGGCCGTTAGCACATAACTCTAGCTATACCGATCGATATACTTATTGGATCTGCACAAACAAGCTTAGCTAACATCCTGAGATTCCACAGATTATAGAAATATAAGGATCATCACTGAGCGATCATAACTCGTGACAGGGGAAGCAAATACATACAACACACGAGTAGCTTTAGGTAGCAAAACATGGAGATATGCTCACCTTAGCTGTTATTCTGATCAAAGTCGCGTTCAATTGCATTAAAACGAGAAAAAACGTGGCTGAAGGTTAATCCATAGGTTAATCCAATGTGTTTGTCACTTTGAAAAAATTATTGATAATCCATAATTCAATTTGTATGCAAAAATCGGAGAATACAAATTAGCTGCTAATGGTAGTCACCAGAGTGTGTCACAACTCCGGTTTTGGCTACGCATCACTCTCACTCCTTATTTGGTCACCTGTGTGTGTATGTGGAACCTTCCCTCGATTCCATTGGCTCTAGCGGTTAAAAAGAGGTGTCAATCAGCAAAATCGACCAAGGGGGGCCAGAGATATGGAAAATCCACCCAAATGACCCCAGAAGTGTTTTTTTGTTGTTGCTAAACCTCTCTAAAAAGGTAAAATGTCACTTGTTTTGCATCAATCTTGACACAAGGTACTTATTATATGTTGTACTTTGGATTCCTAAAGCTTGTAGTCTACCATCCCATCATTCAAGGGTGGTTTTCACTAAGTAAAAAAATATTTTTGGCCGGACACTATAATTTACAGTTTTTTACTATGTTCAATCTGAATTATCTTTAAAATAATCACATCTATATTGATTCTGACTCTTCTACATCCAACTCACAGGTTTATCATTACTTTGAGAAAAAAGATTATTAATTTTCCCCTTTTAGAAGAGAAGATATGGTCATTTTTTCTGGGAATGTCATTTTCGAGCCTGAGATCTGAAAAACAGGGATGGGGTTCGACAGGTTAATTCAATACTAAACACAGGTTAATTAGGAGGGTAAATAAAATATCACAATAGGAAATTGGCAAAATAACTTACCACAGTCAGTAACGTCTGAATTTCCAGAGGCTGCACTGCAAAAGACAGTCTTTATCAAGCTAACTTAAGCTAGCATATCCGTTGTTTATCCATACTTCTAGCCTTCTACATATAACCAAAAAATGATTTAACCAATTTTCTATGTTTACTCTATATTTCTATTCTCTCTCGCTCTCGCTCTCGCTCTCGCTCTCGCTCTCGCTCTCGCTCTCGCTCTCGCTCTCTCTCTCTCGATATATGTGTATATATATATATATATGTTTTGAGAATCCAAGAGAATGCATTCAATAGGAAATGGGAAAAGTGGAATATTTACATGGTTCACACCAATGAGTAAGTGTATAACTAATTAATTCCTGTACAGTATGTCTGAATATTGAAGGTCTTCAGACAACTAGTAATTATTGTGCTTTATTTTATAACTGATTTGTGTGTATTATTGTTGTGAAAACTCAATAAAAAGTGTAAAAAAAAAAGAGGAGTTGGTTAAGAGAGAAGGAGGTGTGATGTAGTACCCGTGAAAGTCATCCGACCATCAGATGTGAGAACACCGGCACCTGAATGTTGTGGCTTTCTCAAAATAAAACATGTGGCTGAGACTCGATTGCATTGCATGGTCCATTGAGCAATGCCTGTGTCTGAAAGTTCCATTTAGTTTTTGTATTGCTTTCTCAAATGATTACAGAACAAGTGAAGACAAGTACAAGGGACCATACACAGCAAAAAGACTGTATACAAAGTTGGATAGAGAAAGGAGGGGACACAACAAACACACAAGCAAAGCAGCTGAAGGATACAACACGGGTTACACTGATGGGGGGAAGCAAGAGGCTCTTGTATAGCACAGATCCTGTATGAATATGGATGGATTGTTCGAGTATCAGAATCAGAATACCTTTATTGGAAATGTGCATAGTTACAGCAGGAAAAAGAGCCACAGACAGCTTAATGTTACATATGTTAAATATGTGACATGCATTTAAAAAAAAAAGTACTAAGTTATGATATCATTAAAAACATATATATAATAAAAAATAAAAAGTTACAAAATACACATCCTGTAACAGTTCTTAGGATTTATCAGCCAGGTATATATTACACAGTTATTAACGGCATCTATATATATTGCACATCTAGCACATAGTTTGTTGGTATTTAGCAGCAAGGGGTGTTATAGTCTGTGTTGTGTGTAGGGGGGGTGAACTAGGGGCTGTGCTGGTTGTATAGTCTGACCGCTGCAGGAAGGAAAAGACCTGTGGTATCTCTCTGTGAGACAGCGGGGGTGCAGCAGCCTATCGCTGAAGGAGCTGCACAGTGAGGACAGGTTGTCCTGGAGGGGGTGGGACATATTGTCCAGCAGAGAGGACAGCTTGGCTGCCATTCTCCTGTCTTCCACCACCTCCACAGTGTCCAGAGGACTCCCCAGGACAGAGCTGGCCTTCCTTACCAGTCTGTTCAGTCTCTTCCTGTCAGCAGCCGAGATGCTGCTGCCCCAGCAGGACACACCATAGAAAGTGGCTGATGCCACAACAGAGTCGTAAAAAGCATGTAGTGTCAAAACAGTCTTTCAGGGCCTCCTCAGACTACTTCTTCACGGTGCGTGTGGGCACTGGCTGTCTGTGGACCAGAGGTTGGTACACAGGCTGGAGGTGAACCAGGTTGTGATCAGAATTGTCCAGGGGAGGAAGGGGGGATGAGCTGTATACATCCTTGGTGTTGCCATACAGTAAGTCCAGTGTTGTATTGCGTCTGGTGGTGCAGGTAACATATTGTTTGAAAGTGTGCAGAGTTTTTGAGAGAGAGGCCTGATTGAAGTTTCCAGAGATCAGGAGAAGAGCATTTGGGTGCTGTGTCTGCAGTCTGCTTACAGTAGAGCTGATGACGTGCACATGCCTCTTCAGCGTTGGCAGAGGGGGGAATATATGCAGCTATCACGATAACATGCGTGAATTCCCGAGGTAAATAGTCGGGCCTCATGCTAACGGCTAACAGCTCTATGTCCCTGTTACAAAGATCATGTTGCCAGATTTGACTGATGCAAAATAACCTTAACCATAAAATAATCTTCTTTCCCGATGCTAAGAATCAACCCTTAAATGGGCAATCAGTTTTAAATATTTAGATTTTTTTTGTTGCTATTTTCTAAATTCAAGCCACGCATATTACTCCATTATTTCAACCATGTTATAACATTAATACAACTGTATCAGGCCCTTATCATAAGTCTCCTCTTTCCACGTCTCTGCACCAGTTTGCTTTGTGCTCATTTATTGTGTTGCTGGTGTTTAAGCTATAAAAACGAATTTGTTAAGGACAGAAAAAGTTTGCGTTGAAAATTGGAAACAACAACTTGTCCTGGGGTTATATGGTGGACCGTTAGTTTTAAAAGATGACCACTGGGGGGATGAAAAACTGGGATAAATTCAAATGTTTCAAAGGACAATTTTCCACATTTCTTCAATAGGTAACAATAATCTAACATCAGAAGGAACATTTGTGAAACTATTTTTGAAATGTCAATGTTATGCTGTTTGAAAAGGCTGTCACAGTAGCAGAAAATTACTATGCTAAACAAAGGACTCCATCAATATTGTCCATCAAGAACCAGACAGTGTAACTTGTGCAATCTTACAATTATTGACTCTGAATTGAGCTTTGAAGCTAATTGTGAAGCTGTTTGCCAAACGGATCGCCAGCGTTTGTATTGACTTAGGAAACTGTCCTATTTTAACATCGACAAAACCATGATGATCATGTTTTATCGTGCTTTTATAGTAAATTCTGTCTTTTTCTTTCATGTCATGGTTTGGTAACCTGCCTTTAAAGAGCAGGAACTGTCACTCAGATCATAAAGATGTCCAGCAGATTGATTGGTAAGCCAAAGTTAAACGTAGCAGACGGTTACGGCGGTTATCCAGCTCTATAATAAGCTTCTTCCTTCTTTTTATCTGCAAACCAAATCTACTTATAGGTAAAATAAATAACCTGAACCTGAACTTTTCTATTAAAATATTTTCGTGTCTCATTTAATTTGATGTTTTTCTTGCTTTTTCACACTTATCTCACCCTGTATTCCTTCCAATCTTTTCCCCAGACACTCCATGCAGCAACAAACGAACAAAGTGATCACCAGCACCAGCCAACTCATCAAACAGCTCTCTGATATAATCAGCAGCTCTTCACGGGTATTTTATGCTCCCTTTCCTCATTCCCTGTCGTTTTGAAGAATAAACAGAGGATGAAACAACATTTGGGCTAATTAAGGTTAATCTTGTTTTTGTTGCCCAGCAAGACCGTCTGCACCTGACTAGACTAAAGACTGAACTCTCAGAGTCTGTGCAGCGCTACGGGGATCTGCAGAAGGTAATTCCTCATGAAATATTACTTCTTTCTTTCATAAGTGCATTTTCATGGTCAATGAATGTTTATTTATGACAAATTCATAGATAGAGGTGCCCCATTGACACTACGTTTTTAATATCTTAATTGCTACACACACATTTACATGCAAATAAACAATGTCTGACCTCTTTAAAAGTGGAAAAACAAAACACTCTTCTTGACCCTGTCTCTTTATTTGCTCTTATCTCAGAAAATTGCGGAGCGTTCAAGGGCCCTGCTGCCTCCAGCACAGAGAGACAAGAAGGTGAGCTGATATGGGGGGTGAAAATCTGCCCTTTGTTTCACTGTCATTCAAAAAAGAGCTGGATGACCAGATGGCATTTCCCTGCTCGATTGCTTCCTCACAAGGGCTCTTTGAAGCTCTGTGTAGTGTCTCACTAAACAGCGACTCCATTCTTCACATCTGACTCCGAGCACTGCCGTTCTTATCGGAAACTAAACTGCTTACTGGCAATAGTTTATTTTTTACTGTGAATATTGAAATAACAGAAGTAGAGGCTGGTAATCAAAAAGTGAATCATTATTTAATGCAGAACTAATTTAAAGGAATCCTTACTTTTAATACTAATACAAGATAATCAAAAACAAAATGTATTGATCTTTTATTAGGGATTGCAGTAGAACAAATGAAACATAATTATAAAATGTACTGTATGCAGGTCTGTACAGAAGACTATACAAGAGAGTGTGTTGACAAATGGCATTTATGGATTTACTTTTCACGTGCTATGGGTGATATTTAAATATTTAGGTGCACACTATGTTTGAACTGTTCTACAAAATAGAGGCTAAATATGAATACTACCATGGAATAGCATATGCAGGCAGTCGACCAATGAAACACATGAGCACATACTACAGTTTAAAAACTAGTATGTAGCTTTTTTTCATTGGTGTTTTATCCTATCTTTTACTTGCTGTGTTTTATGCCTTTTATTGCACATGTTATAGTTGTATTGTGTATTGTGTACTGTATGTAAAGCACTTTCGTGTTGACAAGGGTGCTATATAAATAAAGTTTTACTTACTTAAAAAAGCAGAAATAAAACAAGACATGCCCCTGTTAGTTGAATACACACAGTTAAGCTCACGCACACTATTTTATGATGATATAGATGCACCTAGTGAATTGAAAAAATAACAAATGAACCAAAGAGAGTGAAAACCATAAAGCAAATCCATTACGATATTAGTGACTGCAAATGCGTTTGACAATTTGAGTCAAGTTATTCACCGTTTTTAAAATTTGTTTTATTCCATTAGTTATTTCATGTGTTTGTTTTCTAAGAAAGTGTTGGCTACTGTTATAAAGACCTTTCAGCCTGTGCTCCTCCAAAAAACGACCAAATAGGTCGATTGTTCAGCAGCTTATTACGACCAACAGTCACGTTTTAAAGTTTAGCAGCTCTAGTGGTCGTGTAAGAAACAACAATTTGCGGCAACCTTCCTATATTTTCCCACACATTTTCCCACACCACGCCGCTCCTCCGCTCCCTTCACTGGCTTCCGGTAACTGCTAGAATCCACTTCAAGTCACTGGTACTTGGATACCATGCTGCGAATGGATCTGGCCCTTCCTACATCCAGGACATGGTTAAACTGTACACCCCAGCACGTGCACTCCGCTCTGCATCAGCCAAACGGCTCGCTGCACCCTCACTGCGAGGGGGACCCAAGTTCCCATCAGCAAAAACATGTGGGTTTGCTGTCCTGGCTCCAAAATGGTGGAATGAGCTCCCCATTGACATCAGGACAGCAGATAGCTTACACACCTTCCGGCGCAGACTGAAAACTCATCTCTTTCGACTCCACTTCGAGCGATATAATTACTTACAAAGAACTGCTAACAAAGCACTTATATACTAATAAAGGACTGGCTTATCTATAGCCAGTTGAGTAGCACTTGAAATATTTTGGCTCTAATATTTTGGCTCTATGAAACCTGTACTTATATGATTCTGTTTTCTTCAAGTTTGTATCTTCTTGGTCGAATGCACTGTAATGCAATGTAATGTATTGTATTAACGGCAGCATCCATGTAAAGTTAGCGTCAACCCTCACCGGGTGAAAACAGTATTTCCGGTCTGGAAGTTTTCATAATAAAACCATATTCCCCTCACTGTCAAATGATTTCACAGTGATATCTGCCATACTCATCCACTAAAAAACATAAATGTATCCTTGTTAATTACACAACATTAATTGGTTTAAATTGTGTACACTGCTTTTGTGTTTTTCCCATAGATTTTTCCCTTTCGATTCTGAGAGAAACATTTATTTTTTAGAGGTTTTGATAGGCTAAAACATCGAACTACCCATAATCTTCAGCTATCGTTGAAGCTCGGCGATTGGATGTTTTAGCCGCAATGCATGTTGGGATATGGTGTTTATGCGATGTGAAATCCGAAAACATTTAAAAAAAAAAATAATAATAATACTTTAATCCGAGTGTTCTTGCTTTTCTCTTTGAAAGTCATCACATAACGGCATTGTAATACACGGTGCGGCTGCATTAAATATTACACATCTGCCGTAGTTCTCTATTTATAGAGCCCTGATGAGAAGACTTCTAGACAAACTGGAAGAACTGCCACGGAAACTGAATATGTGACGTGGATCATAAATATATCAGCAATTAAACAACTTCTTCAATTTCTCTTCACACAACACGTCTCCTTGCAGTATCAACACTAATTCAGCTGACTTTTATATTTGATCCAATTGGTAGATAGGTTATATTTACACCATAACGGTGCACAGCTGATAGAAAAGGACTTGTAGTGTTTAAAGATATTACTGATTTTCTTTTAATATAAGAATGTAAATACTGAGTTGAGAGAATAGTCAGGGGTTTTGGGTGATGGGAGACACATCTATGGAATCAGAATTTCAATAGCTTACATTACATGACGGATATACCTCAGATATTAATGTGTAGAACTACAATATGTGAAATAGTATAGCAATATCCTGTAAAATTATGTGAAAACATGAATATAACTACACATCTTCAGATGTTATACATACATAAGTGTCCTACTCTAATAATACAAAGTTATTATGGCATTGTATGCTGTGTGTAAATGTAACATCTTCATAAAGTATAATTTATTGGGTTAACACTGTAAACTTGACAGTGTTTAACCCCCTAGTGGTTAAAGCACAATATTGATTTTTTTTATTGAATATGTTATATTTGATGAACACATTTAAATATTAAGAGTAGCCTACATACAACATAGGGGGAAAGTAGAAGGTCAATGATAGAAATATAGAATAGAAAATATCAAGAAGATACCGTAGTGATCTCTACAATAAAACAGCTAGTGCAGGACGTCCAAAGATATTAATAGGAGGATGTGCAAAACAGACAAACTAATAAGGCTTTATTTAAACATTAAAGAATACTTTAAGTTAAGGTCTTCTTTTGAATAAGAAAAAAACGTTGGGGGTATCTACAGATAAATATTAAGCCTGAGAAAGTACTTAACGTCCAATATGTTGCATAGTTTATTTTGGCACTTGACAATCACCTTCACTGAATTGTACTCAGGTGTAACTAAAGTCTGCTTTAAGGGTTGTATATATTTCACATCATTAATCAAAATCTGCAAAGTAACTAAAATAAATGTACTGGAGTAAAAATACCAGGTTAACCTCTGAATTGTAGTGGAGTAGAACAAAGTATAATAAATTGCATGTTGTACATGCTACTGTAACAAAAACATTTCCCAAATTTGGATCAATAAAGTATATCTTATCTTATCTTAAGATGATCGATGGCTACTGCCATATTTGCAAAATGTGCCTCTGAACCTTGACAAGTGCATGTTTCAAGGCTTATCAATTAACAACAGGAGGGGTCACAGACATAAGACCAGCTATTAAATAGCTAATGCTATATATTAATGCTGCCCATTATGGACACAAGCAATTTTCACCCATTTATTAATTATATGTTTTAAATTTGATAACACCAATGTACACAGTTTAATACTGGCAACTTCTAATTAAGGGAAATTCAAAAACGTCTTTTCAAACTACAATTCCCAGTAGAGATGTGCCATAGAACGTGTTGCGAAACACAATAGCCAGCATATGTAGTTCTGGGGGGGCTGGACCCGTTCGAGTCCAGTTTTGGAAAGTCTGCAGTGGTTTCATTCCATTTCAAAGAGCTGTTTGACGCTCGGCGTAACCTTGGCGCACTGCCACTCCAACATCCAATCACAGAGCTTGAGGACTAATCACAGGGTTTGTCAAACAAAGCACATGGTGTAGTCCCAAACGATAGCTGAGGATTATGGGTAGTGTAGTGTCTTCGGCCATCTTAAACTCCCAAAAGACTATTTGTTTCTCCGAATCGAAGGTTAAAAACACAAAATAATTGTACACAATTTAAACCAATCAATGTTGTGTAATTAACAAGGATAAACTGATGTTTTTTAGTGGATGAGTAGTGCAGATATATCACTGTGAAATAATTTGACAGTAAGGGGAATACTTCCGGTTTTATTATGAAAACTTCGAGACCGGAAATACTTTTTTCACCCCGTGAGGGTTGACGCCAACTTTACATGGACGCTGTGGGGAAAGACGTAGTATATTAACGTTCTCCTGACGAGACCTCAAATCATCTTCGTAATATCTATCAAACCATAGATCCTAAACATCCACTGGACGTGAATTCTAAAAGTACAATATACACTTCTCGCTAGAAATCGAATCAAAAAGCATTTTAATGGCCAAACTATTCCACAATTTAGGATTTTCCAGAGAGGGTTATTTGTGAATATACGACCCTCCGGAGCGTTTGCAATCAACGGGAGCCAGAGTCCTGCACGGGTCTGATTTTCAAGACCCGCTCCCGCCCCGCACCCGCGACGTGCAATACCGAACCCGCCCCGCTACCCGCACATATTGCCAATTAGTTCCGCAACTCGACCCGTCGGCACAAGATCTGCAACCCGACCCGAACCCGCACATATATGAGCAGTGAAAACGTGCAATTATTAACACACGCAGTTGCATATTTGTCTCCATCTAGGATGACACCAAAAGCCTCCCAGACGTTGGATTTCGCTCTTGAGGAAGTGTTATTGAAAATGCTGTATTCTCCGCTAGAGAGATTCACCTCAGCCATTTCAAATGTGGCGCGCACAGCAGCAGATTGATGCCCTGCAGAGGTTATGATTATGCGCGGTCCCGCGGGGGAGAGGTCTGAGGATTTAAACATTAAACTAAATTATTATTATTTGAATATATTTATTATGTAACACCCGTGACCCGACACGCATCATCTTTGTTTTACCCAGAACCGAACCCGGAAAAAAGCGTTTGAAAAATTGTTGTTTCTTACACGACCACTAGAGGTGCTAAACTTTAAAACGTGACTATAGGTCGTAATAAGCTGCTGAACAATCGACCTATTTGGTCGTTTTTTGGAGGAGGACAGGCTGAAATCTGACTACCTTCAAAGCATAGCAGCAAGTTCACTGAGTTTTTATTTTTATTTTTAATTTAACCTTAATTTAACCAGATAAAAAAGCATTGAGATAAAATCTCATTTGCAATGCTGACCTGGCCAAGAAGGCAGTAACGTGAGTACATTGTGGGAGAAGAAATTGTGAAAACTATTGTACATGTAGTCTGAGCAGTGGCAGTAGGAGTCTATTTCCTGTTGTACTTTTTCACTTCAAGGATTGCAAATGGTGAGAGGCGTCCTGACTTTCAGATGTCATACATATGCATTTAGAGAAACATTTGTCAAATCAATGCAAATGTTATTGACTGCTTTCCACCCACGTCTTTGGATTCACTTCATCAGAGTGGAACAGGAACGAACAGCAGAGAACTTGAGGAACTGTGTGAACTTTCCAGCACAATGTGAACTTGAGCAGAAGGATTGTCTTGAGAGTCTGTGCCATCTGTGTGATGTTTTAATATATTCAAGATCATTTGCGTAGGGTAAGCATGTGGAGGAGGGAGCACGATGTTGCAGAGTTTGTTGTGGAGCGGTGAGTCAGATTGTGGCCGGAAGACACAGCTCTGTGACTCAGCCCCGATTGGTCCACGTGTTCTGACCCGCTCTGACCCCTCCGCCATGACTTAGCTGTGTAGTCAGCCAAACCGAGGGGGAATACATTAGCAATGCAAAAAATTCAACCAGGCCTTCCTCTGACTATTGTTTACACATGTAATGAGTTTTATGGACTAACATCCTCAGTCTCAGCTGTCCCTACAGTCTCTGCTGTTAGCTAACTCTGTTAGCTCTTCAAATATCACTAATTGGCAAATGTACATTCAACTTTAATGAGTTGTCAGTTCTTTAATTCCAAAAGTGAACATGGTTTGGTTTGATCTTCCCATTGTGTTACTACGTAACATTAAGCTGTCTTTGGCTGTTTTTCTGCTGTAACAACGTACATTTCCCCTCTGTGGTACTAATAAAGGTATTCTGATTCTGAACAAAGGCTAATATGATGGAAAACATAGACTATTTTTGTCACTGCTGTGGTGGCTACAGCTATGCCCTACTTTAACAATAAATGGTAAAGAAAAGGAACATTAATAACCTTCATAGAAGAATAATAGCCAGTTTCATGTTAGAGAAATTAAGTATTTTAAAAAAACAAGCACTTCCTGAGGCTTTACTCTTCACACATGTTAGGTTGTGAGTACTGGAGGTCACATGTATGGGGTTTGTGAGCACTTAATATTGTAGCTGATCATGTTAGGTTCTTAATAATACATTTAGTGAAATTAAAAGTAAAATATTTTCCCTTTGACTCAAGTGCTGACATATAGAGAGGAAACATTTAAATTAGTAAATGTATAATGAGTATTTAGATAAACATTAAAGAAAAATAACATTGACTGCAATTGACTACTCATCTAACTAAAATAGCCTCTGGATTACGTACATCCATTGCGACTAGAGGTCTGAAAAGTATTCCTGGTTCCTTTCTGTGAATTGGAATGGGGCCACAGTGTGCTGGTGGTACCACTCTCTGTCAGACTGTATCTGCTACCATAGTAACAGGACTATATATTATAATGTAATTTGTTTGTGTACTCTTACAGAGTCCTCAGACCCAGTCCACTGAGCAGATCGAGGAGGTTTCTCTGTTTGGAGAAGCAGTGGGTTCAGATGGAGGAGCTCAAGCTTTCTTGTCTGAGATCAGTGAGGAGGACGTGGAGGTGCTTCACCAAAGAGAGGAGGCCCTGCTGCAGATCGAAGTAAGAACACTGTCATCCTGCAGTCTTCTTACATCATGTTAGCGTTACTGACTTGCTGTGATTATAAGCCTGTATTCTTTGAGGGCCCCATTTACTAAGCTGTCTCAGATAAGAAATGAAAACCTGTGTTTGCCTGTGCACAGCCTTTAGTTGTATACATAAAAAAACAAGAATCCATGGACATTTAAATGTACAACATAGTCTCCAAAGAAGAAGCAAAAAAAGGAAAACATACCAAGTATTTGTTTTCTTCAAAATTAGCCTCTCAGGAGGCGCACACATGCCAAGTTAATAATTCCTTACATTTATTATAGCGCTTTTCCAGATGCTCAAAGCGCTTTACAAATACACATTACACATATCATACATGCAATGGTCATGTACTGTGGACAATACCCACAGGAGCAAGTTCAGGTGAAGTGTCTTGCCCAAGGACACAAGTTAGTAAGTAGAAACTCCGACAGGCTCCGTCTACTTCTCCCACCTCCAAAAGCTTATTAGTATTTTGTCACAGTACCCCCATGCTGCTGCAGGATATTGAATGCTACCCAATTACTAAGGTGCTTATATAGACGTGTTTGTTCTCTTACCTGGGCGAAGTGTGTATGGAATCATAATGTTTCCCGACTTCATTTAGAAACCAGCATGAATGAATACACCATTCTGTTAACTACTGTAAACATAAAACATGTTAAGTAACTTATTGGATTCCGATTTCTGATGATTTCTGATTTATGCAGTATGAAAAGGAGGGATTCGGTCAGAGCCTAGATGCCAACATGCACTTCCCCATGCAGAGAGAAGCAGGGCTCAACTTCTCTTGCTGCGAGGCATCAGTTCTTACCCACTGCCAAACATAGATATTCCAGTTCTAAAACAACCACCTGAGTTGCAGACTGAAATGTTTATTTGCCCCATGGGGGCAGCAAAAAGCAGTTGCAAACACAACTAAGACATATCATCATCATCTCTTAAGGTAAAATATAGAAAACCCTTAGCAAATATTTGCATATTTACACTTCAAGTACTTTTGGGACAACTGATTTATCAATCAGTTTGAGTTGAGTTTGTGTCCACCTAATAAATGTAAGTCTGATATTATCTCACTTTAATCACTCCAAAAACTCTTTACAAGCTGAAGGCTCAGCTAGGTTCTCCAGCTAGCACCTACTGCGTCTGTTTGCCGTTTGGCGCTGAGTAGGTGGTGCAGAGTGGGTTTTACAGACACATGATTCCCACGAAAAAATAATGAGAGTGGTCAAAGTGTATCAAAACATAAAAACAGTTGAGGGCATTACAGCTTAACAATAAGATGAAACCATAGATCATAACATGTAGTCCTTGTAATATCACTCATGGTTATGAAGCTGACACCACAGTCCAGCTCTCAGCTAATAAAAAGAGCAAAGAGGCTGAATTGATGCTGGCCATAGACAGCTAGCGGCTAGGGAAGGATCTCAGGAAGAACGCTCTGTAAAGCAGGTGGTATCTGCAGTCTCATCACCATAAGAGAACCCTTTACATCAGCGACGTGCAGGCAGGGTAGGCAGAGCCTCACCTGTCATACTCCAATGTAACGGAAAAACAACTAAAGAAAAACTAAATAGTAATAATAATAAAATGTCTCCACTGATCTGTGTTGTAAATGTGATTTCTGTTTGATTCCAATCGCTTTTTATAGTCAAAATCAGCAAATTTACCGAGCTCCGCTACAACTACAGGGAGCGATGAGAAGTGAGGCAGGGACGAGCTCTGCCTCTCGTTAGCCCACAGTAACTGGCTGGAGCGCGGGCACTAATTTAGGGCGGGCACTTATTTTGTGAGCGCGCTCAAGCCAGTTACTGTGGGGTGAGGTGAGGCACAGATGAGCTCTGCCTCACCTCAGAATGCGTCACCTCACAGAAACTGGCTGGAAAGCGGGCCCTAAGCGCATGCCTGCACCATCTCACTGTATGTCACCAATGTAATGTTTGTAGATCGCTTTGTTACATTTATCCTCGCCATCCATAGTTTCTAAATAACTTATTTCACGTATATAGGATATTTAGGCCCGCTGGTCTCATCATACAACGGCAATGAAAAAAGCACCAGGGGAGGCAGCCATAACCTCTGCCGCACTGAAGGGGGCGCAAGTGAGCCCACAGGTTCTTGTTGCTACTGTTATTCTACGCAGAGACGGTAGAAAACAACAAACTAGACTTTTGAAACTAGAGGAAGATAAGGAGGACTTTTACAAAAAAGTAATAGAGATTGTTGTCCAGAAGGATAGCATGGACTTCCTCTTCAAGTCAAGGTAAGACCACCATTGTAATGAAAATGGGATCTTACTAAGAAAGAACAATCCAATATTTAGATTGTGGGTATCCTTTTGTTGAACAGTCTGTTTAAAATGAATTGAAGCATCAGACTAAAAAAGCTTTTGAAAATAACCGAATATTTCGATTAAGGTCAAAATATAATATTTGTAAATCTGACTCTGAAAGAGTCAGTGCCTCACCAGCCATGAACCTCACCACACGTCACTGCTTTACATGGTCACAAAATCATTAACATAAATTGTTCTTGTAAACATATCCATTATAGCTGCTTTGAGGCTATGGACATTGAACCACCAGCTCTGGTTGTGTTAGTTAGCCTAACCCCACATGGGATGCAAACCAACTGCAGACACCACCTACCTGAATCATGTGCGGGACATAAATGTACAAACCGGAAAAACATTTGACCAGGAAATATAACACAGTGATGATGAAGTTTAACAGCATAATGTAATTTGGAAAACAACTTTATTATAGTATTTCTAGAAGACGGGATGTGAATGAGAGATAATTCAGTGAGGGATTACAGATTTAATGAGAGATGCAGATGTGGCTGTTTAAAGCATCATGATCATAATACAGCCTTTTAAATGTTTGTATTTTAGGAGGGACAGTCCATTCCTTCCCCGTGGGAACACATTTTGATGTGTATGGCCTCGCTGCACTCCTTCTGTCTTGAGTTTATTGAACATGCCACTCCATTTATGCAAAAATCTACTGATGAAACTTTTTAAGACATATTGTAAAACTTCATCACCCATCTCAGATCCATATGGCTGAATGGCAGCAGGCAGGAGCCAGACACACGCGCTGCTTTTAAAATGACAGCCTATACTTGGCAGGCCAGCTTTTGAGGTTTGAAGACTAATGATAATGTTTTAGGAGCACTCCCTGGCATAATGAAGATGTATCTGTGTGCCCATTTGTAACTGTCTGAACTCCATCAACGTTTCAAATCGCCTAATCCCACCAAAGGAGCTGAAAAGAAGAGGAGAAAAGGGAGAGCATCAATCTCTCCCACAGGGTGACACACAGTGAAAGAGCGGCGGCGGGAATGACAGCTTCATTTCAGCGCAGCCGCCAAGATGGGCCAGTCAGATGTTTGGTTTTCCGACAGGGTTGTCTGGTCGCGCTTTAGTCATAGCAGCATGGATAAATGTCACAGTCAGCGCTCAGGCAGGTGCTGAGGGGCTTGATGTGGTTCCTTTGGGGAGAGTGATAGTATCTGACAATGTGCTTTTTCACCTCTATACCACCCTCATCGCCTACTTGCCTTCCGAACACCCCACCTCATCTTTTCATATATCAGCCATGTTTGATGTGAGTACACCTCACTTTCCCTCACATTCTCCCTCACATTCTCCCTCCCAGAGGACAAAGAGAGCCCAGAGTCTGTCATCATTATTAGCCCCCTGACTCCCGGGAAAAGGTCCGGTGTGTTCGGAGGTTAATTGTGCCGTCCTAGGAGACGGATGTACGTGTGAACTATGCTAAGGCTTCCTTGCTGCATAAAATAGCTTCAGTGGATTTCAACCTTTTTTTGAGTTCCAAAGAATTCAGGTGTTGAGAGCAGGGAGAATATGAACTACATTTCATGCCAGTTGAGGTTCTGGACACTCGATAGATTTTACTCATTGTTGGAGCTATGTCTTTATTAGACATTTATTTTCTAGCTGTTTTTGTTTATATTAAATGAATCTTTATTTATTGTCATTTATTTTGTTAGTAAAAGTAATTCTGTATGCTTTTATTTTGAAGGCAGTTACGGGCACCTAGTGATCATGTATACTGTGTATTGGACACAGGTGGAGGTGGGATTGGCGCACCAGAATGAGCAAATGTTTTTTTTTACCAGGGGAAGCACAGGTGAAACCATTGTTCTGATAAATGTGATAATATTGGAATCCCACAAAATGAATGCACAAAACGATGCTGTTGTATGGATCATTTCCCCTGAGTTATGTTCTCCTAATTGTCCCCCGTCGGTTACATTTTTACCCTAGACTCATGTTTTTCATTCACTGTCTTATATGCATTTGATATAAAATATATACTTACATTGTATTTATTACCGCTTTCCCAAATAATTGGCTCATGTTCTACATTAACCTTTGCTTTATTTAAAAATGTTTGAATATTTTAATGTGCAAAAATCAATACATCTCAGAACCGGAGCTCCATCTGGACAGGTGCAAGTTCACCTCCTGATGCCGAGATGCCCTTGAGCAAGGCACTTAATCCCTAAATCACCCAGGCTAATGCTTATGTATAGGTCCTGTTTGTTCATGAGAATATGTTATATCTTGAACCTATTGAATATCCCCTGATCAAACAAAAAAAGAAAGCCTTATTTTTCTCTTTTTTAATATAAAAACTAGAGGCCATCTTGCCATGTGGTCACACCAGCCGCAACGCCAGATGGCTCCAATGGACTTTTACCCAACTGCCTACCCCCCCCAACTTCTGGAGTTCTTACTGAGACAACATTGGTCTTAACATTAAGTATTGAGTTATTCTCATGTGTATCTATAGAGTGTCAAACATTGGCTCAGAGACTCACAAGGTGAAAACGAAAACCAGTGTTGGTAATAACAATTGCAAAAAGAACAGCTGCAAAATATCTATCAACGTCATTAATATATATTTAGCGAAAGTCTATTTACAGCCTTCATAACAATACTA